TTTGTATGATTTCAGTCTTTTAAAATTTATTCAGACTTGTTTTTGGGGGGGGAGAGAGACAGAGTGAGAGGAAGAGAGAGAATCTTAAGCAGGTTCCATGCTCAGTACAGGGGTCTATCTCATGACCCTGAGATCATGACCTGAGCTGAAATTAAGAGTCAGATGCTTAACTGACTGAGCCACCCAGGCGCCCCTATTGAGACTTGTTTTGTGACCTAATGGTCTGTTCTGGAAAATGTTCCTTGTGAACTTGAGAACAATATGTATTCTGTTATTATTGGGTAGATTTTTCTATATGTTAGTTCCAGATGGTCTATAGTGTTGTTTATGACTTCCATTTCATTACTGATCTTCTTCCTTGTTGTTCTATTCATTATTGAAAGTGGGGCATTGAAGTCTCCAACCATTATTTTTGAGTTTTCTATTTCTTGCTTAATTCAATTCAGTCAATTTTTGCTTGATATGTTTGGGGGGCTCTGTTGTTAGGTTTTTATATGTTTCTAATTTTAGGTCTTGATGAGATGATCTTAAATCTGTATAAAATACACTTCTTTGTCTCTTCAAAATTTTTATCTTAATGTATGTTTTGTCTTTTATTAGTACAGTCATTCCTGCTCTTCTTTTGCTTACTGTTTTCATGGAATATCTTTTCCTGTCCTCTAACTTTTAACTAATGTGTGTCTTTGGATCTAAAATGAGTCTTTTGTAGACAGCATATGGTTGAATCATGCTTTTATATCCATTCTACCAATCTCTGCCTTTTAAATGGAGAATTCAGTCCATTTACATTTAATGTAATTAATGATAAGGTAAGACTTCAGACATTTTTCTCTTTGTTTTCTATATGTCTTATATCGTTTTTGTTCCTCAATGACTCCATTACTGTCTTCTTGTTTGTAAAATATTTTCTAGTGTAACATTTTGATTCCTTTCTTGTTTCTTCTGCAATATATATTTTAGTGATTTTTCTAGTCTTGTCCTCTTGATTATATTTAACATTTTAGCTTATAATAATCTAGATGAATTAGTACTCAATTTTAGCAGTATACAACAATTATGCTATTTATCTCTGCTCACCCCTTTATTATTGTCACAGATTGCATCTTTATACATTGTTTGCCAAAAAATATGAATTTATATATTTTTATGCAGTTGTCTTTTAAATTATATAAGAAAAATGAGCTACAGATCATTAATACTGGCTTTATATTTACATTGTAATCATTACTGGTTCTTTATTTCTCCATGTGAATTTAACTTAGTGTCTAATGTCTTTTCTATTATATTTTATCCATTGAAATTTTGTATAATGTTTTAGTTGTTGCACTAGAGATTACAAAACACTTCTAGTCTATTTAGAATCAATATTTTATCAATTAAATTAGAATGTAGTTTTATGACCATATTGGTACTCTTATTACCTTTCCCCTTTAAACTGTATTTGTCTCATATGTTATGTCTTCCTTAATTGAACACTTCATCAACTCACCATATTCTTTGTTTTCAACAATCAAAATATTCTGAAGACTCAGGAAGAGAAGAATAACCTGTTTTGATTTGTCCAGATGTTTACCACTTCTGTTCTTCTTTCTTCATTTCTTATGTTCCAAGTTTCCTTCTGTTCTCATTTCCCTTCTCTCTGAAGAGCTTCCTTTTCTTATAGATCAGACCAGCTGTCAGTGGAGGCACTTAGTTTTCCTTCATTTGTGAATGTCTTTATTTCAACCTGCATTTCTGAAGAATTTCTTTGCTAAATATCCAATTACACCTTTTCTCTGCATTTTAAAAATGTTGGTCACTTCCTTCTGGCTTCCCTGATGGCAATCCGTTTTTCAGATCTTTGTCTCCTTATAGGTAATGTGTTGTTTTCCTCTGACTTTTTTTCAAGAGTTTTTTATTTGTCTTAAGTTTTTATCATTTTGATTTTTTATAATGTTTCTAGACATATCTTGTTTGGGATTTGCTCAACTTTTTATATCTACAGGCTTGTGTCTTTTGCCACGTTTGGGAGTTTGTAACCATTATTTCTTTAAATATGTTTTCAGCATCACACTCTTCTGTCTTTTGAGACTCTGATGAATTGTATGTTAGACTTTATGTTTGTTGTCCCACATAATCCTGAGGCTGTGTTCATTTTTTTTTTCAATCTCCTCCTCCCCTGTTTTGTTCATATTGGATAGTTTCTACTGATCATGTTCACTGACTCTTTCCTCTGTCATCTTCATTCTGCTATTGAGTCTATCCAGTGAGTGTTTTATTTTGGTTACTTTCTTTTTTCTTTTTTTTTTATTGTGTTATGTTAGTCAATATACAGTACATCATTAGTTTTTGATGTAGTGTTCCATGATTCATTGTTTTGGTTACTTTAAATTCTAAAATTACCCTTTGATTTTTCCTTATATCTTCTATTTCTTTACTGATACTTTCTACTTTAAATTTTGTTTCAAGACTGTAATTGTTCTCTTGAGCATTATAATAGTAGCTGCTTTAAAGGCTTCTTTTCAGGTAGTTCCAACATCCATGCCATGTCACCATTGCAATCTGTTGATTGTCTCTTCCTGTGCAACCTGAGACTTGTGGTTTCTTGTATGCTGAATAATTTTGGATTACATTCTGGACATTTGTGTATTGAACTATGAGACTCTGGGTTCTGTTTTAAATCCTATGGGGGAATATTGATAGTTTTGTTTAGCAGGCAATTGACCTGTTACAGGGTTGCCAGATTTAGCAAATAAAATAAAGAACACCCAGTTAAATATGAATTTCAGATAAAGTATGGATATTTTCGTATAAGTATGTCCCCCCAATATATTTGTTATTTATCTGCAATTCAAATTTAATTGAACATCCTGTATTTTATCTGGCAACCCTCCTTGGTTAGGTTTAAGCTGCAAGTTCCAACCCACCTCTGTGGGCTGTGGTTGCAATGTCAATTCAGTTTTTTTTAATTTGTTATTTTTTATTTGAGGAATTGACCATGGTTTCAGGCACAGGAACAATATAAGTAATGTTTTTTAGGACATGTTAAACCGTACTATAAGACTTTGGGGTATGATGCAAGTTTTATTTATTTATTTATTTATTTATTTATTATTGAAGTATAGTTGACACACAATGTTACATTAGTTTCAGGTGTACAACATAGTGATTCAACAACTCTTTATATTATACTGTGCTCACTATAAGCATAGCTATCACTTGTCAGTATACAACACTATTACAATGCCATTGACTGTCCCCCCTGTTGTTCCTTTCATCCCTGTGACTTATTCATTCTATAACTGGAAACCTGTACCTCCCACTCCCCATCACCCACTTTTGCCCATTTCCCCGGCCTCCTCCCCTCTGGCAAGCACCAATTTGTTCTCCATATTTATGGGTCAGTTTCTGCTTTGTTTTGTTTTTTTGATTCCACATACAAGTGAAATCACATGGTATTTATCTTTCTCTATCTGACAGACACATTTCACTTAGCATAATTTCCTCTAGTCCATCCTTGTTGTCACCGTCAGTTCAGTTTTTTTTTAAAACTGTGCTGTTCTATCTGGATCTTCCTGGATCTCAGTCTTATAGCTCACTGATCAAAGTGATTAGCGTGCTAACTGGGATGAGATCAATTTATGCTCAGACCAAGGCTGAGCTCCTCCTATTCCTCTGTCTCTCCTATACCTTTAGGTTCTCTGAGGCAGTCTTCATCTTGGTCTTCTGGCCAGAAACTACCCTTTACCATGGGTGCTTGCTACTCAAAGTTCAGAAGCACTTGAGGTGCTCCTCCTTGCTGCATTCCCTGGTTACTCTTTATGGTTCACTCACTGACAGGACGTGACACCTTTTAGTACTAATGCAATACACACCACATCCTTCTCTCCCTTTAGTATGTCTTGAAGTCCAGTTCTGATTTTGAAAGCCCTATGAGATTGCTAAAAGTGGTGCATACAAAAGAAATTCTGGCACATGCTGCAATATGGATAAACTTTGCAATATGGATAAATTCTGGCACATGTTGCAATATGGATAAACTTTGAAGACATTTTATGCTGAGTGAAATAAGCCAGTCACAAAAGGACAAATACTGTTACAATGAAGTGACACTTATATGAGGTACCTAAAGGAGTCAAATTCATAGATACAGAAAGCGGAATGGTGGTTGCCAGTGACTGGGGGGAGGAAGGAATAGAGAGTGATTGTTTAATGGCCATGGAGTTTTAGCTTGGGAAGGTGAAAAAAATTCTGGGGATGGATAATGGTGATGGTTGCACAACAGCATGAATGTGATTGGTGCCACTGAACTGTACAACTAAAAATGGTTAAAGTGGCAAATTTTATGTTGTTATATTTTATCACAATTTTTAAAAAGGGCATAGCCTTTTAGCCACCCTCTCCATAGTAGCAAATCACCCCAGGGGAATACGTTGTTAGGTAAGTACTGTGATTTTTCTGATTTTACAGATGATAAGCAGCTATAAGTTAATTATTTTGCTTAAAATTTTACAGCTTGTGAGAGAGTTAGGATTTGAACTCAAACAGCCCAACTTTAGATGCTGGGTTCTCAATTACTATACTCTACTCTTCACACCATGAGGAAAGGATTACAGTCATTTTGAATACACCTAATGCCTAGCATAGAATATGGCACAGAGTAGATATTAAATAGGAAATTTTCAGAATTATAATTTGCAGGAATTTATCTCAGAGCCTATCAGAATTATAATTGACATTCCAGATTTACAGTTTACATCTTTCTTTGCAAATGTGGGGCTGCAACCTATTACATTTTGCATCTCTATCATCTAATACTTTCATACATATTAGAAGACCATCAGATGTGAATATAATGAATTAATATAAAAATAAGAGAAGACAAGTACTTATCTCAAGTAGTTATCTTTCAGGATTGATAAAAAGAGTAAAACAATGAAGTAATCCTTTCACTTGGCTAAATTTAACATTTTTGCCAGGCGATGTCAGTTTTTGAAATGTTTACTTCCTTCTTAGAGTTGAAATTCCATTCTTTGCGATCAAATGGATTTGTTGTGGCTCAACCAATTTGCAATCCTCCTCTGGAAAAATTTCATTTTAAAGGTAAGTGGAGGTGTCTGTGGGAAATGGTTGTAAAAGCTAATGAACCTGAAGGGGAGAACTTTAAATAGCTTTTTCCCTCATTTGAGTATGGGTTTTTGTTTTGTTTTGTTTTGTTTTTGTCCCTTTTGTTCCGTGGCTTAAGGTAGCGATTCTAACTCTGAAGAGTACCCATAGGATAAATCAATGGACTAGATAATGAAATGTGGAAAAGGGTGAAAAGGACAGGCTAGTGAGCCATTCGTATTGTAGAACAGAGCTGAATAATATGTTTAAATATGCACAAGAGCATAGATTCACACACACATACATATACACAGACTCTTAATTATCACAGTCCTTTTGTTTCTTTGCAGAAAAGGAAGATAATTTCTTTAATTGTGGAAATCTTCATGACAGTCTTCTTCTCTCTATTGATTTTGCTTCATCGCAGAGATATAAAGAAGACGTTTCAGAATGTTACTGTTTTCAAGCCTCTTCCTTTGATGACCCCACCTGATTTCTTCTTTAATAGAAGCTATGTATATGAATTAGCTTATGTGCCTTCTAAAAGTGTTGTGGTAAAAAATATTACTGAGATGGTGAAAGAGATGTTAAATACCAATTTTTCAGGTTAGAAATTGTGATGTCTAAAATGTTTTTTGTAGGGCGCCTGGGTGGCTCAGTTGGTTAAGCGGCTGCCTTCAGCTCAGGTCATGATCCCGAGGTCCTATGATTGAGGCCCATATCGGGCTCCCTGCTCAGCGGGGAGCCTGCTTCTCCCTTTCCCTCTGCTGCTCCCCCTGCTGGTGCTCTCTCTCTCTCTCTCTGTGTGTCAAATAAATAAATAAAAATCTTAAAAAAAAAATAAAAAATTTTTTGTAGCATAATTACTAGTTTGTTTTTGAAGAAACATACTTCAGTGACCATAAACTTGTGTATTAATCTCCTGAATATAACATTATGAGCTCTGTAACATAATATCAAACATATTATTGGCATAATCATAAACAAAATATAATACTTAAAATTAGATGATGGAATTATGTAATTGTAAATCCTCTTTGTCTCTGACTGTGTTCTTAAATTAGGGTGAGCACCTGATAGTGTGCCAAAGGGACACAGAACCTCAGGATGACCTGAGTAGTTTCTTCTTGGATGCATACATAAAGTCTACATCGAGATCATTAATTTTAAACATTTTAATGAAAATATTAAGTGTGATATATGAATGCATTTGAAAAGAAGACTAAAGCAGCCTAGAATTATACCAAAACAATCCTCATCTCCTTATACTCGCCTCCCTCTGCATCCAATTTCTCTTCTCTGTCTCTAACGTTAAAAACAGTCAGAATTTTGGTAAGCATCTCTCCCCTTCTTGTCTCATGCTTTTACACATGTGTGTGGGTTTGTTCTGTTATATACTCATACAGTCATGTTTTTTTCCCCTCATCTTAAGGGCAGGGCTTTGAGATGGGAGGGGAGGCTAGATGCTATCTATTTACTTTGCCATCTTAAAAAAACAAAATGTTACATTGTATAACTTAATGCAAAATTCCCATGGATTTTAAAAATAGAAACCATGAATCTCCAAAGAACATTAGTGCTTGTGATGGGCTGAAAGTTACCTTTTAAGTATCCCTTTATGTGGAGGTGGAGGATAGAGGACTGTTAGGGGAAAGTCTAAGAAGCATTGTTATTCTCTCCTATTGAAGCCTTCAGGAGAAAGTGTGTCTGAAGACTGGAGTAGAGATCTGATGGGTTGAAAGTCTATGGTGGTGTTTGTTAATGTCTGATATAGTAAAGTGCTCATTTAAAGGGAAGGAAGCTGAGAGATTTTCCTCCTCTTGACTGGGCCTGATTACCTTGTTATAGTTTCTGTGGAACCAACTCTAGCAAAATAGCTCAGTGGATATGAGAGGATATGTGTAAAAGTCTTCATTTGGAAAGCTCCCATATTCAGATTTTAGTGCTACTCTGAAGAATTATAACTTTTTAAAACAACTATTCATTAGAAGCTTTTATTTATTTTTTATTTTTTTTTAGGATTTTATTTATTTATTTGAGAGAGAAGGGGAGAGCATGCATGGACAAGTAGGGGGAGGCGCAGAGGGAGAAGCAGACTCCCAGGACCCCGGGATCATGACCTGAGCCGAAGGCAGACATTTAACCGATTGAGCCACCCAGGTGCCTCTAGAAGCTTTAATATACCAATTCAAGGGCGCCTGGGTGGCTCAGTTGGTTAAGCGACTGCCTTCAGCTCAGGTCATGATCCCGGAGTCCTGGGATCGCATCCCACATTGGGCTCCCCCTTCTCTGTGGGGAGCCTGCTTCTCTCTCTGCCTCTGCCTGCCACTCTCCCTGCTTGTGCTCATTCTCTCTCTGTCAAATAAATAAATAAAATCTTTAAAAAAAAAAATATACCAATTCAAGTTCAAATAGTATAGTATCTGAATAGCATAGTATAGTGTATCTACTATTAGTATAATTGTGATTAGAAAGCTGGTGTTGGGTAAGACTTTGATGTTGGTGTTTGATAACTTGGTTTAATCAATACATAGTAATAACGTCTGTTAAAATCTGTGGTAAAGAATTCTTGAGGATTATATAGTACTTTACTTTGAGCACAATGATCTGGAAGGGCCCCTATCCACACACACATATTTGATTTTGAAAAATTTCAAACCTATGGAGAAAATGCAAATATGCTGCAATTTACCAAGTAACATTTGCCACATTTACTTTTTTATTCACCCTCTATACACACACATATATATGCACATATATAATATGTATGTAAGTATGTAAAACTAAAAGAATATATATAAAATTACTGGATTTTTTTTTTTTTTTTGCTGAACCATTGAGAATAAGTTGCATTCATCATGACGCATCACCTTCAAATGCTGTATGTATCTCCTAATAAGGACATTCTCCAATATAACCTTTACAATTATTATACCCAAGAATTTTAAAATTGATACAATGATGTTATCTAATATACAGTCAATATTTATATTTTCCTAATTGTCCTAATGAGGTTCTTTAGAGCTTTTTTTTTTTCTTTTTTGTAATCCAGGAGCCAGAGCTTTTTTTAAGATTTTTTATTTATTTATTTATTTATTTAGAGAGCATGCACCAGTGAGTGTAGTTGGGGGAGGAACAGAGGGAAAGAGAGAATCTCAAGCTGATTCCACTCCTCAAGCGCAGAGCCTGACTCGGGGCCTGATCCCACGACCCTGAGATCATGACTTGAGCTGAAACCAAGAGTCGGACACCCAACTGTCTGAGCTACACAGGCACCCCCCAGTTAGAGATTTTTAAATATTCATTGGGGTTGACAAACTTTTATGTAAAGGGCCAGATAGTAAATATATTAGGTTTTATGGGCTATGTAAGTTTCTATCAAATAGACTTTTTCTTTCTTTTTTTTTTTTTTTAAGAGCACTTTAGAGATGTAAAAAACATCCATCGCTCACAGGCCCATACCAAAACAGACTGTGGGGTAGATTTGACCTGCACAGGACCATAATTTGCTGACCTCTGGCTTAGGATACTTTCTTAGACAGCATTTTTTTTTTTTAAATTATGTTATGTTAATCACCATACATTACATTTTAGACTGCTTTTGTTTTTGTTGTTTTGTCTTTAATAACAGTGATAGTTTTAAAAGACTAGGCCGATTATTTTGCACAAGGCTTCTTTTTTTTTTTTTTTTAAAGATTTTATTTATTTATTTGACAGAGAAAGACACAGCGAGAGAGGGAACACAAACGGGGAGTGGGAGAGGGAGAAGCAGACTCCCTGCCGAGCAGGGAACCCGATGCGGGACTCGATCCCGGGACTCCAGGATCATGACCTGAGCCGAAGGCAGTCGCTTAACCAACTGAGCCACCCAGGCGCCCTTTGCACAAGGCTTCTTAATTTGTATTTGTCTGATTGTTTCCTTACATTTAGTTTCAATTTGATCATTTGTGTTGAAAATATTACATCTTTCTTATAAGATCTTCTTAGTGAATCACTTTTGGAAGCATATTAGCAGTTTGTTCCTCAATTGGTGATATCATGCTTGCTCATTTTATTCAGATGGATTTCCACCAGACTTTCCATTGTCAAGGCAGTTTTCCTCTTTGTAGTTTATAAGGAATCTGTCAGTCTAAGTCAGAGCACTTTCAGCACCCTAGAAGCTTCCTTTGTGCCACGTGGCAGTTATGACTCCCCCAAATTTAACTACTATTTTAACATCTAAGACCACAGTTAGTTTTGCCTGCTTTTCACCTTATGTAAATGGAGCTATTCACTATGTCCCATTATAGCATTCTGGGTTATATACGATATGTATTATGTAGTTTTTATGTGTGTGCTTTTACTTAGCATTATATTTGTAAGAGTCATCCAAATTGTTGCGTGAGATCATAAATCACTAATTTTCTTTATAGTATCCCATTATGTTAATATTATGCAATCTGTTTATCTGTTTGTTTTTGATGAACATTTGGGTAGATTCCAGATTTTAGCTATTATGAGTAGTGTTGTTATGAACATTTTTATAAGAACCTTTTGATGAACATATATACACCTTTCTCTTTGGTATATAGCTAGGAGTGAAATTGTTGGGTCATGAGGGATGTAACTATTTAGACTTACAGAGACGTATGAGAGTTTCAGTTCCATATCTTCACCAACACTTGATATGTTCTATCTTTTGACAGGAAGTAACTGATAAAGGCATTCTTGTCTTGTTCCCTGTCTCTGGAGAAACTTTTTCAATATTTCACCATTGAGCAACATATTTATTATATGTTGTTTGTAGATGTTCTTTATCAGGTTTAGATAGCTTCTTTCTATTCTTAGTTTGCTAAGATTTTTTTAAAGTCAGGAATTAGTGTTAAATTTTGTCAAATGCCTTTTCTGTGTCTATTGAGATGGTCATGTGATTTTTCTTATTTTTGTTAATATAATGATTTTTCAACTCTCGACTCATCCATCCATTTACCTGGGTTTATTTTATGGATTTTATTTGCTAACATTTTGTTAAGAAATTTTACAAGCATGTTTAAGACTTTATTTTTAAAATTTTATTTATTTGAGAGGGAGACTGAGAGAGAGAGAGAGCATGGGTGGGATGCGGGGCAGAGGTTGAGACGCAGACTCTCCCCTGAGCAGGGAGCCCAATGTGGGACTCGAACCCGGGACTCCGGGATTGTGACATGAGCTGAAGGCAGACGCTTAACCAACTGAGCCACCCAGGCAGCTCAAGACATTGGTCTATTTTGTGTTCTTTGTTCCATGAGTTGTTGAGAGTGTATTGCCTAATTTCCATGCAATTGGAATTTTTCTAGTTATATTTTTGTTATTGGATTTAGCTTAATTGCATTGTGTAGAGAACATATTCTGAGTGATGTAATCATTTGATGATGATGATGATTTTTGATCCTAAAATTGTCCCAGATTTAGCCAGTGGGTTTTTTTTTTTTTTTAAAGCAATGTCCTTTTGATGTAGTTTGTCAGCTTTTGAGCACTTTCACTGTCTAATAGAACTAACTGTTCAGGCTGAAAACATTGTACTTTCTCTGCCCCAGAACTAGATTCAATCAATGAAGCAGTCTTAATTCCTCTTTTTTTAGGGATGGTATTAAGAAACTAAGATATGGGAAAAATAAGACAGAGAGAGAGAGAAACAAACCCTTCCCTTTGCTACCAGTTTCCCTTCCTGAAGGCACCAGTAGGGAGGTCACCACTTAACCCTCCACTTATAAGTGGGTCAGAATTGGCCTCCTGTTTCCTTCTCCCCTCAGGACCTGATAGATCTTTGTAAATGTGCTCAGCGTGTCTGTCTCCCCACAATAAAACATAGGGAAAACCAAGTACTAGGTGTACTCATTACTACTGGGGTGTCTTTGCTTCTAGACTCTTTTAGTAGGATTTTTTTTAAAGCATGATTTTATGTTGATACTCTCAATGCCACCCCAAATATAGGCCACTTGTTTTTCTTCTCCCATTATATATTTGTACCTCCTTTCTCTCTCAGAGCCCTAGATCCTAACAGCATCAATGTACTCATTTGCCCAATCTTATAGAAAAGTATTTCTGAATTACTTACATTATGTACTACTGCCCTAACACACTTAACACTATTTCTTTGCAGTTCTTTTTCTTCCTAGACTATATTCAACTAGGGGTATATGTCAACATACTGTGCCTAAAATTCACTTGGGTTAATTCTTTTTCTTCTTGTGGTTGTTATTAATTTAATATCTATTTAAGATTCACTTATATTCGGGGCGCCTGGGTGGCTCAGTCGTTAAGCGTCTGCCTTTGGCTCAGGTCACAATCCCGGGGTCCTGGGATCGAGCCCTGCGTCGGGCTCCCTGCTCCGCGGGAAGCCTGCTTCTCCCTCTCCCACTCCCCCTGCTTGTGTTCCCTCTCTCGCTGTCTCTCTCTCGCTGTCAAATAAATAAATAAAATCTTCAAAAACAACAAAAAAAATCTTATTTCTATCCATAGTTATTTATGTTTTCTTATAAAGAGGCTATCGAAGACTTTAATAATCTGTTTACATTGGAAATATTTTAATTCTTAAGAAAAAGCTTTAGTCATTTAAGTTACCTGTATGTGTGTGGTTGTGTGTGTGTTTTTAAAAATTTCATACAGATTAATTTGTGAATAAGAAAAGTAACTGCTACTTTTATTTATTTTATTTTTTAAAAATTTTATTTATTTTTACATTTTTAACTTAAATTCTACAATTGTTTTCTAGAATACAATTTATTCTGCCATTATTTTTTGAAATACACCTTCTACAGAAATAATTTTGACACTTACTTCCTTCCACATTTTTTTTAATCACTAGATTTCAAACTACAATTGAAAAGTTCCCCTTGTCACAATTTACCTTAATATACAGTTACTGTAGTGATTAAATATTGTTTATCATGTGTCCCAGCTTTTATAAAACACAAGAATTTTTGTGTACCCCAGATATCCATTAGGTCATCTGCAATGTCAGTGTTTGAGTAATAATGTTTTAAAATGTATTGTGTTATGACAGGATTATGGTAGTCATGGTACAGATAGGGATGATCGTTAGACATTTTCCATTTGTGTGATGACTTACTGAGATTTTTCTCTCCGCAGTTCGAGGCTTTTCTTCAGAAGCACAGTTTGAAAAGTACGTTGTGTCTGAAAAGCAGCCTATGGTTCACGTGCTGGCTGCCATTGTATTTGACCATGACTTCAGAAACAGTGACGACGGTTTGCCACTTAAAGTAAGACATTTCTGTCTAAAGACTTTCTAATTATATGTTAGGTTTCAGAGATTTAATGAGATATAGGTAACCTCCCCATTTTATAAATGGGAATAATTGTAAGTTGCCCAAGATCCTTACTACTAGTATATAACAGAAAGGGATTTGAATCTTGTGCCAACTTATTTTATTTTAAAAATATTTTATTTATTTATTTGTCAGAGAGAGAGAGAGAGCATAAGCAGAAGGAGCAGCCGGCAGAGGGAGAGGGAGGCTCCCGCTGAGCAGGGAGCCCGATGCGGGGCTCAATCCCAGGACCCTGGGATCATGACCTGAGCTGAAGGCAGCTGCTTAACCAACTGAGCCACCCAGGCATCCCTGTGCCAACTTATTTTAATACCTGTGCTTTTAACCATTACATTATACTGATGTATACTGATGTATAATGTGAGGAGAAAACTGTTATCTGCTACCTTGTGGTATATTTCAGAAAATAGAGTAACAGGAACTTTAGTAAGGATATTCACTTTACTAATCTCCCTGGCCAGGCAGATGCTTCCAGTCTTGCAAATGGTGGTTAAGAAAATAACAGTGTAGCTGGGTAAAAAAGATGGGTAGCAATGTCTGTTCCCTGTTTAAATACCTTCTGGAATTTCAGATAGTGCATATCTGTAATATGATATTTAAACTTTTTAATGGGCTAATTTTAAGTGTAATTGCCATTCTAACTTTGTATCTGAAGTGACTTTTATAACAAAGCTATTTTTACATGAAAGTTAAAAGCAAAAACACCTCACTCATGTCTGGACGTCTTTTAAGCTGAGGTAACTCCCTTTCCTGGGACTGTGAACTGCAGAAGGAGTTTTTATGATGCCCTCTTATTAGAACAGGCCACCTGCTGCTTGTTTTTGCTTTGGTGAATGCCTCCTTTTTTGTACTTTTTTGTACATCACCTCCTGTACTCTCCCTGCATCAAAACCACCTCTTCTGGAACTTAGCTGATTTTCCTGGGCAAGACCTATCTCTACCATAGATAGCACGATGATCTAATAAGAAGGCAAAAAACACCATGTCACTGTGCTGTGTAAAAAGCTCCAGGGGTTCTCCATGAACAGGTCATCAGTGACCTGTTTTCTGAAGAGCCCTTCAGGCTCGTGTTGCCTCTTCTTTCTTTGAACTTCATGCTCTAGCAATCTCCCAACCAGTAGTAGTTGTATGTCCTGTGTGGTCTCTTGCTTCTCTGCCTTTGATCACGTTATCCTCTTTCCTTTTGATGCTCTGCCTGCCCTTCTTTTTCTGGGGTAACTCTTACTATTAATTTCTATAAAACTCTTGCTGTAACTACCTATGCAAAGTCTTCCCTTCTCTCTTCTGTGCTCCCTGAACACCTCGTTAGTTCCTCGAGGTCAAGAATTGTGTATTAATAATATTTAAGCATGCTGTAGCTACTTAAAATGTTGCTTTCAAATTACTGAATTATGTGAATGTTTGCCCAGACATGGTGCACTTGCCTGTTTCTTCTCACCCTACTGACTACTCAGATCTACCATAACTTACCCTGAAGTTGGCTCAGTTCTCTAGATACATCATTTTCTTTTCATGTAATATTTAAAGTATGCAGCATTCTACATTTAAATTTTATTACCCTACTCTTATTATATCTGGGCTTTTTCCTTTTCTGTGATTCACTTTTTGAAGAGGGAGACAATCTTTACCATAATTGGCTAACATAATAGGAAAGGAAAGTAATAGAACTATTTGAGGTCTCACCGAGGTAGGCAAGCCAGCTGTGGAGATAGAAAAATACATTTGTAATGATCAAGGTACCACTGTTGGCGTCTTTGTAACTCAGAGACAAAATGCCTGAAGATGATAGAGCAGAGATATAAAGTTAATTGATTTCTAACCTTGACTGTGATTATGGCACATGAGGCTTGCTGCTTGTCCCTTGTGTCAGTGCTACTGTCATTTCTTATCATTTAGAATCCTGAATTGCTCACTCTGTCCTCCAAACACAAATTTTAGCTTTGTATTTTCTTTTCCTTTCATTGCTCTTACCTGCTTTTTAGCGTTCATTGGTCTTACATGTTGTTTGTTTTCTATTGTTTATTCTAGGTAAAATATCATCTGCGTTTTGGTGCAGGTACTGAGAAATCTTCCAATTTGCTAAGCTCCTTAAAAGCTACTGGATGGAATACACATCTTCTCTTTCCAGAGATACCTTCTCTAGGACCCAGGAACCCAGTTGGTGGTGATGGGGGAGATCCTGGTGAGCAGTCCTCCAGCATACTTACATTAATATTTTGGTTGCAAGCTAGCAGTCATATCAACATGTGTGGATCATTTTTTTTTCTATGAGTGAAAAGTTTATTCATTGTGGCAGTACATTTTTAAAATTGAGTTTTTATTGTAAAAACAAGCATATAGAAAACCTTATGCATTTGAAAAATATCTTCCTAAAACTGTAGATCATTTCCTGAACCTTATCAGTGTGTATTCCTACATTTATATAGTCTTAGTTAGTAAAAGTTGGCTCTGCTGACTTAATAGACACATCTTCATAAACTAACATTGCCTGCATATTTATGGTTCTAAATTATTATTATTATTTTTAAAATTTAAATTTTGGTTAGTTAACAGAGTGCAATATTGGTTTCTGGAGTAGAATTCAGTGATTCATCACTTACATACAATACCCAGTGCTCATCACAGCAAGTGCCTTCTTTAATACCCATTACCCATCTAGCTCATCCCCCACTCACCTCCCTCCATTTGTTCTCTATCCTTAAGAGTCTCATATGATTGTTTCCCTCTTTCTTTTTTTTTCTTTTCCCCCTTCCCATATGTTCATCTGTTTTCTTTCTTAAATTCCACATGTGTGAGATCATATGGTATTTATCTTTCTTTGACTGACTTATTTCACTTAGCATAATATATACTAGCTCCCATCCACGTCATTGCAAAAAGCAAGATTTCATTCTTTTTGATGGTTGAGTAATATTATACATACCACATCTTCTTTATCCACTCATCAGTCCATGGACATTTGGACTCTCTCCATAGTTTGGCTATTGTTGGTAATGCTTCTATAAACATCTGGGTGCATGTACCCCTTCAAATCTGTATTTTTGTATCCTTTGGGTAAATGCCTACTAGTGCAATTACTGGATCATAGAGTAGTTCTATTTTTAACTTTTTGAGGAACCTCCGAACTGTTCTCCAGAGTGGCCACACCAGTTTGCATTCCCACCAACAGTGCAAGAGGGTCCCTCTTTCTCCGCATTCTCGCCAACAGCAGTTGTTTCTTGCATTGTTAATTTTAGCCCTCCTGAAGGTGTGAGGTGATATCCCATTGTGGCTTTGATTTGCATTTCCCTGATGCTGAATAGATGTTGAGCATCTTTTCATGTGTCCGTTAGCCATCTGGATGTCTTCTTTGGAAAAGTGTCCGTTCATGTCTTCTGCCCATTTCCTAACTGGATTATTTGGGTTTTTTGGGTGTTGAGTTTGGGAAGTTCTTTATAGATTTTGGATACTAACCCTTTATCTGATATGTCATTTGCAATATCTTCTCCCATTTCGTAGGCTGCTTTTAGTTCTAGTTGATTCCTTCACTGTGCAAAAGCTTTTTATCCTGATGAAGTCCCAATAGTTCATTTTTGCTTTTGTTTCCCTTCCTCCAGCAATGTGTTTAATAATAAATTGCTATGGCCGAGGTCTAAGAGGTTTCTGCCCATGTTCTCCTCTAGGATTTTGATGGTTTCCTATCTCACATTGAAGTCTTTCATCCATTTTGAATTTATTTTTGTGTATTGTGTAAGAAAGTGGTCCAGTTTTGGGGTGCCTGGGTGGCTCAGTTGGTTAAGCGACTGCCTTCAGCTCAGGTCATGATCCTGGAGTCCCTGGATCGAGTCCCGCATCGGGCTCCCTGCTTGGCAGGGAGTCTGCTTCGTCCTCTGACCCTATCCCCTCTCATGTGTTCTCTCTCTCTCATTCTCTCTCTCTCAAATAAATAAAATCTTTAAAAAAAAAAAAAAGAAAGTGGTCCAGTTTCATTCTTCTGCATGTTGTCCAGTTTTCCCAACCCTATTTGTTTAAGACACTTTCTTTTTTCCACTGGATATTCTTTCCTGCTTTGTCAAAGGAACTTGACCATACAGTTGTGGGTCCATTTCTGGGTTCTCTATTCTGTTCCATTGATCTATGTATCTGTTTTTGTGCCAGTACCATATTGTCTTGATGACTACAGCTTTGTAATACAGCTTGAAATCTGGAATCCTGATACCTCCAGTTTTTGGTTTTTTTTTTTAAAGATTTTATTTATTTATTTGACAGAGAGAGAGACAGCGAGAGAGGGAACACAAGCAGGGGGAGTGGTAGAGGGAGAAGCAGGCTTCCCACGGAGCAGGGAGCCCGACATGGGGCTCGATCCCAGGACCCTGGGACCACGACCTGAGCCGAAGGCAGACACTCAACGACTGAGCCACCCAGACACCCCCTGATACCTCCAGTTTTGTTTTTCTTTTTCACAATTGCTTTGACTATTCGGGGTCTTTTGTGGTTCCATACAAATTTTAGGATTGTTCTAGGTCTGTGAAAAATGCTGGTGGTATTTTGATAGGGATTGCATTAAATGTATAGATTGCTTTGGGTAGTATAGACCTTTTAACAATATGTGTTCTTCTAGTCCATGAGCATGGAATGTTTTTCCATTTCTTTGTGTCCTCTTCAATTTCTTTCATAAGTGTTTTGTAGTTTTCAGAGTACAGATCTTTTACTTCTTTAGTTAGATTTATTCCTAGGTATTTTATTGGTTTTGGTGCAATTGTAAATGGGATAAATTCCTTGATTTCTTTTTCTGCTGCTTCGTTATTGACATACAGAAATGCAACAGATTTCTGCACGTTGATTTTATATCCTGCAACTTTGCTGAATTCTTGTATGAGTTCTAGTTTTTGGTGGAGTCTTTTGGGTTTTCTACATGGAGTATGATGTCGTCTGTAAACAGTGAAAGTTTGGATGCTTTTTATTTCTTTTTGTTGTCTAATCAGACAGGCTAAGACTTCCAGTACGGTGTTAAATAACAGTGGTGAGAGTAGACATCCTTGTCTTGTTCCTGACTTTAGGGGAAAGGCTCTCAGTTTTTTCCCCATTGAGGATGATATTAACTGTTGGCCTTTCATATATGGCCTTTATGATATTGAGGTATGTTCCATCTATCCCTACTTTGTTGAGGGTTTTTATCAAGAAAGGATGCTGTGTTTTGTCAAATGCTTTTTCTTCATCTATTGACAGGATCATATGGTTCCTATCCTTTCTTTAATAAATATGGCATATCACATTGATTGATTTGCAGGTGTTGAACCACCCTTGCAGCCCAGGAATAAATCCCACTTGATCATGGTGAATAACTCATCAAATGTACTGTTGAATTTGATTTGCTGGTATTTTATTGCATCCACGTTCGTCGGGGATATTGGCCTGTAATTCTCCTTTTTAGTGGATCTTTATCTGGTTTTGAAATCAAGGTAATGCTGGCCTCGTAGAATGAATTTGGAAGTTTTCCTTCCATTTCTACTTTTTGGAACAGTTTGAGGAGAATAGGTATTAACTCTTCTTTCAGTGTCTGGTAGAATTCCACTGGGAATCTATATGGCCCTGAACTTTGGTTTATTGGGAGATCTCTGATTACTGATTCAATTTCTTTGCTGGTTATGGGTCTGTTCAAATTTTCTATTTCTTCCTGTTTCAATTTTGGTAGTTTGTAGGTTTCTAGGAATTTGTCCATTTCTTCCAGGTTGCCCAGTTTGTTGGCATATAATTTTTCATAGTATTCTCTTATAATTGTTTGTATTTCTGTGGTGTTGGTTGTGATATGTCCTCTTTCATGCATGATTTTATCTATTTGGGTCCTTTTATCTTTTTGATAAATCTGGCTATGGGTTTATCAATTTTATTAATTCTTTTGAAGAATAAATTCTTTGAAAAATGAGCTCTTAGTTTCATTAAATTGAAATCTCAATTTTTTCTTTTTTTTTTTGTTTCTATATCATTTATTTCTGCTCTAATCTTTATTATTTTCCTTCTTCTGCTGGCCTGAGGCTTTATTTGCTGTTCCTTTTCTAGCTCCTTTAGGTGTAAGTGTAGGTTGTGTATTTGAGACTTTTCTTGCTTCTTGAATTAGGCTTGTATTGCGTGCTCGCTTCGGCAGCACATATACTAAAATTAGGCTTGTATTGCAATATACTTCCCTTTAGGACTGCCTTTGCTGCATTACAAAGATTTTAGACTGTTGTGTTTTCATTTTTATTTGCTCCCATGTATTTTTTTATTTCTTTTTTTATGTAATGACTATCTTTATTTATTTATTTATTTATTTATTTATTTATTTATTTATGTTCAGTTAGCCAGCATATAGTACATCATTGGTTTTTGATGTAGTGTTCAATGATTCATTAGTTGCATATAACACCCAGTGCTCATCTCAGCATGTGCCCTCCTTAATACCCATCACTTGGTTACCCCATCCCCCCTCCTTTCTGTAACCTTCAGTTTGTTTCCTGGAGTTCAGAGTCTCCAATGGTATGTCTCCCTCTCTGATTTCTTCCCATTCAGTTTTCCCTCCCTTCCCCTGTGGTCCTCCATGCTATTTTTTTTTTTTAAAGATTTTATTTATTTATTTGAGACAGAGAGAATGAGAGACAGAGAGCATGAGAGGGAGGAGGGTCAGAGGGAGAAGCAGACTCCCTGCCAAGCAGGGAGCCCGATGCGGGACTCGATCCCTGGACTCCAGGATCATGACCTGAGCCGAAGGCAGTCGCTTAACCAACTGAGCCACCCAGGTGCCCCCTCCATGCTATTTTTTTATTTCTTCTTTAATTATCTGGTTAACCCATTCATTCCTTTTCTTTAATTTTTTTTTAATTTTTAATTTAAATTCAGTTAGCCACCATATAGTACTATATGGTGACTAACATAACATAATAAAATAAAATTTAAAAAAAAATAAAGAAAAGAAAAAAGAAAAAAAATCCAATTAGCTCCATTCATTCTTTAGTAGGATGTTCTTTAACCTCCATGTATTGTGGTCTTTCCAATTTTTTTTTTGTAGTTGAATTCCAAGTTTCATAGCATTGTGGTTAAATTATTCTTTTTGGTTGATGAATGAGTTTTAATTATGCAATGGTAATTTAAAATTCTTTTTTAATTGTATAGAGTACCTTGAAGGAAAAAAATAAACAGTAAGGGCTTTGAACTAAAGCAATTCTGAGAAGTTAGCTTTAGGAAATCATTGAACAGCAGACAAAAGCTATGTGCAATTTAACCATTATCAATGAAAATTGGCAACAATCAAAACAGTGTATAATAAGTACACGGTTAAGCATATGAGGATATGTCAGTTTGACAACTACTGTGTAGTGGTGGTTAAAAATAATTCTTACCAGGCCTAATAAATAGAGAACCATATATATAGAATCATAGCTATGAAAAGTATGTATGAACCTATACAAAGATTGGGATGGCTGTCCAAAAACGAAAATAGTTAAACTAGAATGGTGGTATTGATTGTGTGTTGTTTTGTCATCTTACCAAAAACATTTTGAGTATTTTTCCAAGCAAAAGTTAAAAAAGAGTCTGGCCTCTCTTATTATTAATCTACTGCCACCTAAATGTAATTTGTTAGAGTAAGTTAATTGAAAATAGCATGATCTTGGTAGAAAAAGAGTAGTTTAAAACCAGAAAGAAGAGTTGGCCACATAAAAATATTTAAATAGAGTGTTACTTCTGGAAGGAGGTGTTTCCTTAAAAAGACCATGTTCTATAAAATAAGACAGAAGATAATTAGGCAAACTCCAACTATTGAGTGATACTGCATAGCAAATTAACATTAAAAATTTGGTATGAGGGGACACTCTTTGATTAAAGTGTGGTGACTGGGAGTTAGGTGACTTGATGTTTTTTGTTCAGACTTTATTAATCAGTAGCTTTATGATCCTAAACATTCTAGATAAAGTTTCTTCATCTGAAAAATGAATGTTTGGACTAGGCCACCCTTTAGGTCCCTTTTGACATGAAGATTCTATGATATTAATTATTAGGACTTTAGCCAATTAAATCAGCTGAGGATAGGTGGTGGGAGAGAAGATCAGAATTAGTTCAGTGAAATTTAAAAGTGAGATTTTTAAAATTGTAATAAGAACACTTAACATGAGATATACCTTCTTCACTTTTTAAGTGCCCAGTACAGCATTGTTAATTATAGCCATGTTGTTGTGCAGCAGATCTTTAAAACTTTTAATATTGCAAACCTGAAATGCTATCCATTAAATACTTCCTAATGTTTCCCTCCCTCCAGCCCCTGGAAACCAAGATTCTACTTTCTGTTTCTGTGAATGTAGGTCAAATGCCCAATATAAGTGGAATCATATATTACTTGTCTTTTTGTGCATAATGTCCTCAGGGTGTATCCGTATTGTGGCATATGACAGAATTTCTCTCTTTTTAAAGGCTGAATAATATTCCACTGTATGTATATGGTGCATTTTGTTTATCCATTCATCTGTGGAGGGACATAGGTTGCTTTCACTTCTTGGCTATTGTGAATAATGCTGCAGTGAACATGAGTGTGTTATCTCTTTGAGATCCTTTCTTCGGTTCTTTTGGATATATGCCATGAAGTGGGATTGCTGGATCATATGGCAGTTATTTTTTAGTATTTTGAGAAACCTCCATACTGTGCACCATTTTATATTCCTACCAAGAGAGCACAAGGATTCCGATTTCTTTACATCCTCATTAACACTTGTTCTTTTCTGTTTTTTTGGTAGTGATATCTCATTGTGATTTGGATATGCATTTCTCTGATGATTAGTGAAGTTGAATGTTTTTTCTTGTGTTTTTTGACCATTTGTGTGTTTTCTTTGGAGAAATGTCTGTTCAAGTCCTTTGCCCATTTTTTTTTTTTTAAAGATTATTTATTTATTTATTTGAGAGAGAGAGAATGAGAGAGAGAGCACATGAGAGGGGGGAGGGTCAGAGGGAGAAGCAGACTCCCTGCCGAGCAGGGAGCCCGATGCGGGACTCGATCCAGGGACTCCGGGATCATGACCTGAGCCGAAGGCAGTCGCTTAACCAACTGAGCCACCCAGGCGCCCTCTTTGCCCATTTTTTAATTGGCTTATTTTTGTTGTTGAGTTAGAGGAGTTCTTTATATATTCTTTTTTAAAGATTTGTTTATTTTTATTTTACTTTTTATTTTTTGTTTTTATTTTTTAATTTAAATTCAATTAGCCAAGTTATAGTACATCATTAGTTTTTGATATAATGTTCAATGACTCATTAGTCAAGTATAACACCCAGTGCTCATCACATCACATGCCCTCCTTAATGCCCATCACCCAATTACCCCATCTCCCCACCCACCTCCCTTTCGGCAACCCTCTTTGTTTCCCAGTGCAAGGGTCTCATATGGTTTGTCTCCTTCTCTGATTTCTTCCCCTTCAGTTTTCCCTCCCTTCCCTTATTGTCCTCTGCACTATTCCCTATGTTCCACATATGAATGAAACCATATGATAATTGTGTTTCTCTGATTGACTTATTTCACTTAGCATAATCCCCTCCAGTTCCATCCCTGTTGATATAAATGGTAGATATTCATCCTTTCTGATGGCTGAGTAATATTCCATTGCATGTATGTATACTTTTTTTTTTTAAAGATTTATTTATTTATTTATTTGAGATAGAGAGGGAGAAGAGTGAGCATGAGCAGAGAGGCAGAGGGAAAGGGTGAAGCAAACTCCCTGCTGAGCAGGGAGCCCAACACAGAGCTCGATCCCAGGACCCTGAGATCATGACCTGAGCAGAAGGCAGATGCCTAACCGACTGAGCCACCCAGGTGCCCCGAGATTTATTTATTTATTTGAGAGAGAGAGTGTGTGTGTGGGCAGTGGGAGGGGCAGAGAGAGAGGGAAAGAGAGAATCCTCAAGTAGACTCCCTGCTTGAGTGCAGAGCCCCTCACAGGGCTCGATCCCAGGACCCTGAGATCATGACCTGAACCAAAAAAAAAGAGTCTGATGCCTAATCAGCTGAGCCACTCAAGCACCCTCTTTATATATTCTGGATATTAACCCTTTATCAGTTATATGGTTTGTGGATGTTTCTTCCCATTCCATAGGTTGCCTTTTTACTCTGTTGATTGTTTCCTTCCTGTGTAGAAGCTTTCGAGTTTGAAGTCATCTGTTTCCTGCTTTTGTCACCTGTGCTTTCGGTGTCGTAGCCACATCATTGTGAAATCTAATGTCACGAAGCTTTTGCCCTATGTGTTCTCTTCTAGAGTTTTGTAATTCCAGGTGTTATGTTTAGGTCTTTAATCTCTTTTGATTTAACTTTTGCATGCAGTTTTGGGTAAGAATCCAACTCCATTCTTTCGCGTGTGGATATCCAGTTTATCTAGCACCATTTGTTTTGAAGAGAGTGTCTTTTCTCCTAGTGGCCTTGTCTAAAGTCATCTGACCATATATGGGAGAATCTGTTTCTGGGCCGTCTGTTCTGTTGGTCTCTATTTCAGTCTTTATGCTGCTACTATACCAATACTCTCTTGATTACTGTACTTTTGCATTATATTTTGAAATCAGTTAGTGCGAGGCCTCCAGCTCACAAGAGCAGGTGCTCTCTTTGCTTACGACTGTTTTGGCTATTCAAGGCTCTGTGCAATTTTATATGGATTTTAGGATTGTTTTTTCTGTTTCTGCAAAAAATGCCACTGGGATTTTTTTAAGTTTTTATTTAAATTCCAGTTAGTTAACATACAGTGTAATATTAGTTTTGGGTATACAATTTAGTGATTCAGGACTTCCATACATACACCTGGTACTCATCACAAGGATTTTGGTAGAGGTTGCATTGAATCTGGAGATCATTCTGGGTAGTATGGATATTTTAACAACAGTAAGTCTTCCAATCCAGGAACAAGGAATGTCTTTCCATTTACTTGTGTCATCTTTAATTTCTTTCAGCAATGTTTTGTAGTTTTCAGTGTGTGAGTCTTTCACCTCCTTGGTTAAGTTTATTCCTATGTATTTTATTCTTTTTGATGCTATTGTAAATGGGATTGTATCACACTTGTTTTGAGCATCACTTCTATTTATATGTCTGGTATGTCTGGTATTGAATTCTCATTTATTTTGGCTGATAAAATTACATAAAGCAACTGTATCATTTTCATGTAGTATTTCAGTTTTGGGAAGAGAGTAATACAATTCCATGTTACTTATTATCTGTTTGTGTCACAAATTACTTAGGTTTTGGGAAACTCTTTTGTTCTTTGAGTTAAAAGTTTTGAATTACTCAAATTACCTTCTTTGTTTGCCTGGTTGTTTCTTGGTATACTGAACTTGACCCTCTTTGTTTTCTCATTTAGGGTACATCAGAGAAGGATTCCTGCTTTTGCAGCATGTCATAGATCGGGCCATCATGACGTACCATAATGGCAGAGCTGCAGAACAAGTGTTTAGTGGTGTCTTAATTTTTCTTAGGCAGTTTCCATTCCCTGCTTATTATAATGATAGCTTTTTGTGGATTTTTATAAATATCTTCCCTTTGGTAGTTTTACTTGTATTTTCTCTAACTGAACTTACCCTCATCAGGACCATTGTTTCAGAAAAGGAAAAGAGATTAAAGGTAACTTCACTTTCTTTGTACCATTTTGGGCCTGTGGAACAGATTTTGTGTTCTGTGCATTTGGCATTGGTGAAGAGTTGTACCGCAATAGCAATATACAAATATACAAATTTTCTGAAGTTCTACTTTTATTTAAATTCTTGATTTGGCCTGTAGCTTTATTGACTGAATGACTATTTAACATGGATATTATGGAGAGATGTCATATATTAAATGTCCTGAATCTTTTTTGGAATAAAATGGGCAACAAAGAAATAATCATATGAGCTCTTGAGTTAGACTAATTTAAGATACACTTCAATTTCAAGATTTGAGATGCATTTCAATGTTGTGAAATTAAGACCATATTGTTAAAAACAGTGGCTCTAAAGTTAGAAAACCATTGATTCATCCATCTTAATCCATTAATTTGTTCATTTATTTATTAATTACCTACTTTTTGTCAGGGACTTTGATACAGAGTTTAGCTTTAAATCTTGGCTCCACCAATAATTAACTCTGTGATCGTAGCCTGTTTCTTAAGATGTAAATTGAAGATAATACCAAATTTCTAGGGCTCTCAGGGGGATTAAGTAACATTTTATTTTTAAAAGTATCTAAGTCAGCCTCTCACCTATAGTAAGCACTCAACAAATGGCAGTTAAAAAGAGGACACAATTTCTACCTACTAGTTGTTAAAGGTTTAGTTGAGGAGATAGTAGTAAACTGAGTTACTTTTATAATATTAATACAGGTGTGAAAAAAGTTGTTCTTAAAGTACTGAGGGTGTGATGCTTGGTCTGTGCAATGGGGAGACAGCCTCAGAGGATGGGTTTTGAGACTATCAGTATCCTGTCAGCATTCCTACCAGTGCTGCTGGGAGAAGAATGACTCTGGAAAGGAATGTGGGGAGAGCATGGTTTAGAGTAAGGGTTGGCAAGCTTTTTTTGGAAAGCACAGAATAGTAAATTTTTTAGGCTTGTGGGCCACATGCACCTCTGTTACACATCCTTTTCTTTTTCTCCTCCTCCTTCTCCTCCTTCTCTTCTTCTGCTTCTTCCTCCTCCTCTTCCTCTTCTTCTCCTTCCTCTTCAACCATTTAGAAATGCAAAAATTGTTCTTAGCTCACAGGACATACAGAAGTAGTTTGTGGGCTATATTTGGCCCATAGGCTGTAGTTTGCTCACATAAAGTTTGGCTGTGATATGAAGACTGAAGATGTGGAACCAATTGTGAGGCAATTATAACAGACCAGGAGAAAAGCAGGGGGGCCTAAGTCCGTGTGGTTTAGTATAAAGGAGGGAAGAGTTTAAGAAATATTTGGGTGGTAGAAATCAGTGGAAATGGATATGTTCATAATTAACTTCATATTCTGGAATTTTGGCCACACTTCTTTCAGCAGCTTGCTTTTCCACGTATCAGGTTGTTCTTAAGGTAGTTTGATCTTGTTGTATTGGGGTGAGGAAATATGCTGTGTTTCCTGAAGGGACAGTGATGCTTGGGTTCAATGAAGACAGAACAATATAGAAAGAGAAATCATTCTTTTCTGAGGCAAGGGATTGTCCTTTCTTCCAGGTTGCCTGGATATGCTAATGAAATTATCATTCCCCAAATCACCCAGGCTTGAAACCTCAATCTTATCAGTATAGTATAGTATAGTATAATATATATAGTATTTAGAATGCTGCCATTTCCTGCCTCTATAACTTTTAGGTAAGTTACTTAACCTCTCTGTGCCTTGACTGTAAAATGGAGGTAAAAATACTCCTACCACATAGGGTTATGGCAATGATTGGAGAGATACATAGGAAATGTTATGTAGATGTCCACAGTAGTTATCTGTTTTCTAAATTCTGTTTCTTTCCCTCCATGTGTAGAAATATCATTTTCTAGTTCAAGCTCTTACTGATTTTTTTTTACCATCCAGCTATTTCAGAAATCCTCTCATTGGTTTCCCTATCCTCCGTTTCTCCTTAGTCTTACTTCACATTAAACCCTTTTCCTTCCACCCCAAATAGTTCATTTTGTGCCATTCTTATTTTTGTTTCTCTGACCAGCATGTCTTTTTCTCTCTTTTCTAATTGGTGAGTAATCTCTTTGAAACCTATTTTCAACTACAATTTACTAGTTTTCTCTTTGTGTCTCCAGGTCATGTTACACAAACTTCAATCAGGTAGTTTAAATTTCTGTTTACTTTTTCATTTTAAAGTTTCTAATTGAAATATAAAATACACATACCTGTGTGTACAGATCACTGAATTATCCAGCGTGAACACACCATATAACAACTATTCCAGTCAAGAAATAGAATGATGCCCGCAATCCAGAAATTCCTCACATTCCATCCAAATCACTACACCATCCCTCTTCCACAAGCACTGGGTGTTATACACAACTAATGAATTGTTGAACAATACATCAAAAACTAATGATGTACTATATGTTGGCTAATTGAACATAATAAAAAAAAAGATAATCACTAACTTCTAAAACCCTATGTTAATGTTACCTGGTTTTAAACTTTATTTAAATAGAATTGTACAATAGTTATCCTTTTTTTTTAAATTTTTTTTTAAAGATTTTATTTACTTTGAGAGAGAGAGAGACAGTGAGAGAGGGAATACAAGCAGGGGGAGTGGGAGAGGGAGAAGCAGGCCTCCCGCTGAGCAGGGAGCCCATTGTGAGACTTGATTCCAGGACCCTGGGATCATGACCTGAGCTGAAGGCAGACGCTTAACGACTGAGCCACCCAGGTGCCCCTACAATAGCTATCCTTTTGTGTTCTTCTGTGTAGCTACAGTTTGGCATTTTCATTGCTGTGTACTATTACATTTAATGAATATAGTACAATTTATCACTCTTCTCTTAATGGATACTTGGTTGTTCAAGTATTGGGCTATTACAGTAAGCTGTTGTGAATATTTTAGTGCACATGTGCACATTTTTCTGTTGGGTTTATACCTAGGATTGAGGTTGATGGAGTATACAGTATACATGTTTTCAGCCCTGTTAAATAAGGCCAAACATTTTTCTAAAATGTTTGTGCCAATTTTCTCATAATCAGTAATATATGGGAGTTAACTCTTGCTCTATAAGTATGCCAACACTTGGTGGTGTTTTTAAATTTTAACCATTCTGGAAGGCATATAGTGGTATCTCATTGTGGTTTTATTTTATTTATTTTTTTAATTTAAATTCAATTAGCCAAGGTATAGTATAGTCATTGTGGTTTTATTTGGTTTTATTTTATTTTTTTTTAAAGATTTTATTTATTTATTTGACAGAGACACAGCGAGAGAGGGAACACAAGCAGGGGGAGTGGGAGAGGGAGAAGCAGGCCTCCCGCCAAGCAGGGAGCCGGAAGCGGGGCTCGATCCCAGGAGCCTGAGATCATGACCTGAGCCGAAGGCAGACGCTTAACGACTGAGCCACCCAGGCGCCCCATCATTGTGGTTTTAATTTGATTTTCCTTGTTAACTAATGTTGTTAAGCACCTTTTCATATGCTTATTGGCCACATGGATATCCTCTTTTGTGAAGTGTCAGTTCAGATGTCTTTTCCCCATTTTTCTTAGGGTTGGGTGTCTTCTTTCATAGATTTACAAGCATTCTTTATATATTTTGCATACTAGTTTTTTGTGTGATGTATGTATTGCAAGTATTTACTCCCAGTCTGTAGCTTGTCTTAATGGTGTCTTTGGATTTGTAAAAGTTATTAATTTTAATGTAATGAAGTCTTTACCTTTCTGATTAGTGCTTTCTGTGTCCAGTCTATGCTGGCTGAGTTCTCCCCAGGTCTTTAGATATTCTTCTTTTCTAATCTTTGTATTTAAGCCTCTAAATTTACCTCTAGTGATAACTTTAGTTGCAATCTATAAATTGAAGTATAGTATTTTCTTTATTATATAATTTAAAAGAGTTTCTAATTTTCATTGTGGATTTTTTCTTTGACCCATAAGATAACTCGAAAAGCATTTAAAAATTTTCAAACATATTAGGAGCCGGTATTTGAGTTTAGTTTTTTGAAATTTTGATGGCACTAGCTTTGTGGTCTAGACTGTAGCCAATTTTAGCAAATGTTCTACATGCATGTGTGTACTAAGAACAATGTGTACTGTGTGTTCAATGGGTGCAGTTTTCTGTGCATGTTATAATAACTATTAGTCATGTTCTTCATATATTTTTTTTTTAGAGAGAGAGAGAGGTGGGGGAGGTGCAGAGGAAGAAGGAGACCGAGATTTTTTTTTCTTTTTCTTTTTTTTTTATTATGTTATGTTAATCACCATACACTACATCATTAGTTTTTGATGTAGTGTTCCATGATTCATTGTTTGCGTATAACACCCTGTGCTCCATGCAGTAC